CAAACAACAAACTAACAAACTAACTAACAATATTTCCTCACGTATTCGGTGTGACAGCCTTTATCTGCACTAAATGAACGTTATACTATCCACGTGCTTCACTTTACTCTAACGAACAAACAAACAAAACAAACAAACAAACAAACAAACAAACAATTAAACAATATCTCTCCAGGTATTTAACATTCCATGACAGCCTTTGACTACTATTGTGTGCTTTTTTTCTTGCAGAAAGAAACAAATTTTAATGATCAAATAAACAAACGGCGCTCATATGACCGTATGCAGTTGAGAGCGCCGTAAAACCTTACTAAAACTAAACTAACTATTGCTTCTTTTTACTCATCATACAAACAACCAATCAAACAATCATTCAAACAAACATACAACCAAACAACCAGATAAGCAAACAAACTAAACTAACAATCAAACAAACAAACAATAGATTATCTCCCCAGATTTTCGGGGTGACGGCTTGCACCTACAAGCACTAAATGACAATATTATTGTTATTATGTGCTTCTTTTTACTCATCATACAAACAAACAATCAAACAAACAATCAAACAAACAATATTTCCCCAGGTATTCGGCAGACAATCAAACAAACTAAACTAACAATCAAACAATCAAACAAACAGACAAACAACCAGACAAACAAGCAAACTAACAATCAAACAAATAAACAATATTTCCCGAGGTATACCTTTACTAAATGACGTATTATGACGTGATTCCTTTTACTCATACAAACAATCAAACAACCAACCAACCAAACAAACAAACAAACAGTCAAATCAAACTAACAATCAAACAAACAATATTTCCCCAGGTATTCGGCAGACAATCAAACAAACTAAACTAACAATCAAACAATCAAACAATCAAAGAAACTAAACTAACAACCAAACAATCAAACAAACAATATTTCACCAGGTATTCGGCAAACAATCAAACAAACCAAACTAACAATCAAACAATCAAACACACAATATATCTCCTCAGGTATTCGGCAGACAATCAAACAAACCAAACTAACAAACAAACAATCAAACAAACAATATATCTACCCAGGTATTCGGCAGACAATCAAACAAACCAAACTAACAATCAAACAATCAAACAAACAATATATCTACCCAGGTATTCGGCAGCCAATCAAACAAACCAAACTAACAAACAAACAATCAAACAAACAATATATCTCCCCAGGTATTCGGCAGACAATCAAACAAACTAAACAAACAATCAAGCAAACTAAACTAACAATCAAACAATCAAACAAACCAAACTAACAAACAAACAATCAAACAAACAATATATCTCCCCAGGTGTTCGGTGTGACGGCCTTCACCTGCATCGGCGCCTACGTGTGGATGGCCATCGTGCTGCTGGTGTGGACCAGGGAGGTGGTCACCATCGAAGAGGCTGTCCTCACCTTCCTCTTCTTCCCCCTCCTCATAATCATCGCATACCTCGCCGACAAGGACTTCTGTCTGAAGAGAGGACGCAGAAAGAGGCAGCAGCAAGATTTTGTGGGCATCCCCATGAGTAAGTTCCCCCTTTGTTGATAAACGTGTACGTCTGTATTTCTGTTGCTGCTAAAGAGATCGCCATATTCTCATCAATATCGCTTTTATTTGTGTTTGTATGTCAAAAGTAATATAATATTAATTTTTAAGGCCGGTCTTAGCCTCTGAAACAGACGTTTATCCTTAAATCGCTAGTGTTATAAATAAGTGTTGTTGGGTTTTTTTTGGTTTGGGGGTGTTTGTGTGTATAATAATATATTTCATTATCTCCACTGCTAAGACAGGTTTAAAGGATATGTCCATCACACTGTAGTCTTTTTCTGTTGTTGTTTTTTCATCTTATTCGGTTGAGAATGCAGGATGTTTTCCTCAGAAGGAAGTAGTAATAAAGATCACTCAACGTTCATTTTTGCAAATTTTGTTTGTAGCCTGTGATATAACTTTCACGCGTTCACCAATCTGAGTTTTTATAAGGGACAAAAGTGTTTTTGTTTTGTTTTTGTTTTTTCTATGACACACATTAGCCACGGCTGGGGTGTTGAATCGAATTGCTTTCACTTCACTTCTTTCTTTTTTATTTACTTTATTCATTATTTATTCCTTTACTATGGAACCTATAGGAGAAGCGTATTCATTTCATCAAGGCACGACTAGTTTATTTTGTCACAAAAGTATGCAGACTTTGAGACCATGAGCAACGCTTCTGTGAAACAAACTAGTGGGGATAGAACGTAATACAACACCCAGGAAATATGTAGAAACAACAAACTAGCTAAAAGTAGACGCGCAAATTGTGATTATTCTAGGGTGTATCTAGTTAATTAACAATCAAGCATTTGTCATAATATCCATTATATCTGTGTATACATCTATTTATACGTTCGTCTGTCTATTGGTCTATTTTTAGTTGAGTTTGACGCCTTAGCTTGCTTTCAGTTACGCTCTGTCGTATCTGAAAGAAATTGCTAATAACCGAACTGTAAAAACGTAGAAAGTTTAAGACCACCCCTCTATGAAAATGTAGACTGCACTCTTTGCACCGATGTGTACCCATACTAGAAGTAAATGATGCAGGTTTGAAAGGATCAGAAACATTCATCATCTGTAGGTTGAAGTTGGAAGTTTCTCTTTCTCAACTCACTCTGTATGTAGGTTTGTCGTTATTATTAATTGGTTTGTAAATGTTTACCCTGGCACAAACAAGACTTATGTGTCTATTTGTGAAATGCAGAGGGTCGTCGACCGCTTCCAAACTTTTGTAGAGCTGAAACTTGGCAAGACGGAAGCAGATTGCAGTACCCCAAAAGCCTAAAGAATGAAACTTGGAAGAATATAGTCAGTAGATGCGGATGACAGACAAACTCCAATGAATTCGTATGCACCCTATCGTACCCAGTGCTTGGTAATACCAAAGATCGCACATAACAAGATAGTTCACTAGGCCCAAAACTTGTCCTCGGAAGTCCCCGCTTTGGTTCAGATGGCGCTACAGTCTTTGTTTTGAAGCTCTTTCGTTTCGTCAGAAGAAGAATAGGAATAGCACAGTTTGTTAGTTTCGTTTTTACTGTTTTTCACACAAGTATGGTAATTCTGTTTGCAAAGTCATCACTTTTTTTAAGAGGGCACCATCTGATTTTGAGGACACTTTTTTAATTGGTCCAAAGAGAGGAGTGAAATATCGTGTTGTTTTCGATCTTTGGTAAACCAATTGAAAATGTTTGGAGGGCTTTGGAGAAAAAGTCGACTTACCACAGTAGCCTGATAGCAGTGCGTACAGAAATACGATTAAAACAAATATGGCGCTGTGTGAAATGGTTTCAAAATGACAAGCACAGTTGTTGTTTTTATGGGGGGTTTTCTTAGGTCGTTCACTCAAAAAATATGTGAGGCAGCGTGGTGGAATCAGGCTCTCTCAAATTTTGGGCATGTAGAGTTATTGGTATCATCTTAAAGCTTGTTCACTTATCTTTATTTGGATGAAAAAAGTATCAATTTCTCTTGAATACAAGTCGAGATATTTACGAAAGAATGAGGTTGGGGTCTCCTGTTTTCAGAGGTAAAATTAGTGAGAAAATGACCGCCAAAGGTTAGTTATTTCCTTAGCTTAAGAGTCCGTGGTAACTGAAAATTTACATTTTCTGTGCCTCTAATTAACGTTTTTCAGGAAAAATCCACACAGAAATGAGTTTTTTAATGGGCATGAAAGGTGTTGAGTCAAAAAAAAAATTTAAGAAAAATTCACAAACCTGCGGAAAAATGCAAGTTTCTTCATTTTGATTATTTTGACGAGAGCCTGATTCCACCACACTGCCTCATATGTTCGGCGTATTTCTCTATTCAAGCGTAACCGAATATATATATTTTTTTTTTTCTTTTTTCCCTATCCTAATTGATGACTTGCCGGTAGATTTAAAATGAAATCTTGTTTAAGTCCTCCTTTTCAGTAGATTTTACGGGGTAAAAAAAAACAATAGATAATATAAAAAAGAGATACAAGAACGATAATTTTCTTTCGCTAGGGAAGATCTGCTTTTCTAGATGCTTTCCTGCAAACTGCATATCGTGGTCTTAAACTTTCTGCAATACCAGGACTCGTCAGAGTCGCCCCTTTCTTAGCCACAACTGTTGTTTTTCCGACATCCTTAAAGGGGGGGGGGGGGGGACCTCGCTCTTATTTTAAAGTGAAATGTGAGCAGTTGTTTCGAGTTGGTCTATTTTTTCTTTTCCTTTTTTTAAAGTTATTTTTTAAAATATATTTTAATCCACGGGGCGATTTTGAAAGAGGGAAAACCTCGCTCTTTTTTAAAGTGAAACGTTAGCATTTGTTTCGAGTTGTTGGTTGTTGTGGGGTTTTTTCTTTTGGTTTTTTTTTAAATATATTTTAATCAATGAGGTGATTTTGAAATATTAATAGCAACAACATCAACGTCAAAAATTACAACAGCAACTATAAGAACAGCAACAGTAACGTCAAGCGTGTAATGATGAGCGGATTTGCCCTCTGAGTTTCCTTCATCTTGGTTTATAATTACAATCCTTGCTACATCTATGTAGTATACAATTCTTTAGTAACTTTGAAAATTGAGAAAAAGAAAAATTTTCGTTTAAATGTTGTGTTTCCCTGAGTAACCTTTTATAAATCATAATATTCATACTGCTCTTACTATCAAATATGTATATCTACTTATATAATTCAATAGCAATAAGACTTCCAGCCTAACTTATTAAATACAATATATATTGTAACATCTATCTGTTATAAACTCAGTGTTGTGAACTAAAACCGTATACATCTATAAATAAATGCATGTCAGTTTGTATACTGTAATACGTATTAAGTACTCGGTGGAAACTGGCCAATGAAAAGCCAGAGCTCTAGTCACTGCTGCTTCAGGAGAGATGCATTGCCACTTTGTCCTTGACAGGTACAGACGGTAAAGCCGAGAATGGAAGGACAGGTTGTTATACAACGTTATGTTTATGCCTATGTTTAATGAACTGGGATTGTTACTCTTTGCTTTAAAGAACGTGTATTTACTGTTTATATATCATGCTTTTGCTGTTCTTTGTGTGTGTGTGGAAGAGAATAGAATGCCTTTCTTTTTATAGAATAGCGAGTTCTATATTTATTTTATTTTTGGATTTTTTTTCACTGATGAGCAGATTATAATTAATGTGCTGTTGTGTTCTGGCTTTGCTGTACCAGCTTTAGACTCTTAGTGTGTTTGCACTCTTACAGGGTGTGCTCATGATGTGCCTATACCTTGTCCAGGTGCAAACTTGCGTTGTCCTATCATTCGATTCGATTTCGGAATTTCAGTGAGAACTATAATTGTTATTCATTTTGTAATTGTTGTTGTCGTTGTTATTGTTGTTGTTGTTGTTGTTGTTGTTGTTGTTTTTATTGTTGTTGCTTTTATTGTTGTTCTTGTTGTAATCGTTCTTGTTGCAGTTCTCAGTGAGATTTCGAATAAAGTCATTTTAAAACTTAAAAAACGTAAATCAACCTTTGACTAGTCTGACAAGGTTTTTAGGCCATCGTGTGCTCACTCTATCGGTTTGTGCGCGAGCTATACAGGACTGCTGCTGATACCCATAGAGAGCACTGAGGACATGTACAACAGAGTTTTTGCACCAAGATTTAATGCCTCACTTTCCTCCCCTTACCACTTGCTGTTCTCCCGTAATCGTAATCGTTTGTCTGTGCCACTTCTGAAATCGTTTTGTCTGCCACTTCTGAAAGAAATAACATATATTCTCTTGTGGAAGCGAGGAGTAGGAATGTTAAGAAATACTGGTTGAAAAAGTGGGTTGGGGTGGGTGGGGGGGGGGTCTATTGTATTAGTATATGGTTTTACGGCGCTCGCAACTGCTAAGGTCATATGAGCGCTGGGGGTGGGGGGGATCTGCAACTCCTGGGTTCTGGGATGTTAAGTACAAAATGTATTTATTTGTTGGTTAGAGAGGTATGGTAGACGTGGCTTTATAATATGTCACATTCTGTTTCTTGGACTATTTCTAGCTCAAATATAATTAGATTAAATATATATTGTAGCTGTTTTTTGTGTTATTTTTTGTGTATGTACCAGAGGCAATGGAAAGAATTAGATCTGTATAAGCGTAGAGATACCCTCTGTGATTGTTTTAGTTCGTTTGCTGTTAGGAATTTTTGTTTTTTGTTTTGTAGGGATTAAAAAAAACATATCATTTTCACCTGACGTCTATCTGTCCGCACATTGTCTTTAATATTCTTTAATGGGTATTTTTAATTAACCTGAGGAGAGAAATGGGACCACACATAATAAAACTGCATGCCGCACAGGGGTACATTGACGACAGAAATGACGATAACTGTGAAACTTTTTAAATTATCTTCCTTTCTCTAGCATCAGTGTCCATAGCAAATGAACTCGAATTCTGTCTATGAATTTTATTGAGAAAAATAATTCAGGTTTCGACCCCCTCGCCTTCACCCTTCGCCTTTCTCCTTAGCCAATGGTTAAGGCATTACAAATGGAACAAACTTTATTGAACGTGACACAAACATTTTCTGCCATGGCTGTTCACTCTCACTCACGTCTGTTGCTTTCTGTGTAACTTTCTCTGACGTATGTTGTGTGTGTTTGTGTGCGGGACTACTCTGAGAAACTCGCATTTCCTGTTGAAAACCATTATAAACAAAACCGCGATTTTTTTTTATTCAAAACAATAATATCATTTAATTTTTATTTCACATGATATCTCAAAAACCTCTTTTACCCTTGGCATTAATAAAAGTCAATGAAGCTAGTTTTTGTTTTGTGTGAAAAGGTGAGAGCTCTTAATATGTTAGATGTACTGTCAATGAAGGCCACTCGTGTTGAGTCAAGCAGTTTATTACAACGGCATGCACTACTGAGTCCTTGGGGCGATTATAAAACTATAACTATAATGTTAACGTAGGCAAAGCGTTGTTTTTTGTTGGGGGGGGGGGTTCAAACAAAATACCTCAAAATACGATACCATATTGTAATACGACGAAAATTCAATCATTATTCAAATCTTAACTCGCGTTATTTTGACAATATTTATAAATAAAGGTTGGATAATACCCTACTGTCATTTTACAGGGTAAATTACGAGGGTAAATAAAAGTGGATGAGATTAATTTTTAGCGAAACAAGAAAATGAGATTTTGAGCTAATGCTTTTCCAGTAAATAATGGTGAGGTGACCACCACAGCTACGGAGGGTGAGGTGCAACCTGGTGAGTGCTTGCTGAGCGAGGGGAGACTGTTATACCCTCTCTTGTCTCTGGCGCATGGTTCAAATCTCTCTACTTTTTTGCATCATTCTTCTCTGAGCTGAGCATGCAGTCATATCTATTTTGAGGGGGGGCAGGCAGAGACGGGTGTGTGTGTGTGCATGTGTGTGTGTGTGTGTGTGTGTGAGAG